GTTTCTCTCTAAAAGTATAGTTGTTCTATTAATTATCTAGGGGAGACCAAAACCATGAAGAATATGAGCGCTGCCAAGTTTGTATCTTTGACTTCGATTCCTTTCCGCTAAAGCACAGTGGGAGATTGTATAAATTATCTGCTCAAATGTATTATAACCTTTTTGAGAATTTGATGTGTTGATATCATTGGACATAACTGATATACCACTTTGCCATCATTTCTATCTTTTGCCATTCTACTTTTTTTTACTATCGTGATTCGTGACTATTGAACATCACATAGGATCATTTGTACTCTTTTTTTTCTTTTGCTTCATAACCTATTACCATATCTGAATAATTAATGAATCAAATAATTATGATTCTGACCAGGTTGGCTCTATTGAAGGGAGGGTTGGTGTACATCATCTTGATGATGGACTACAAAGTAAAAACTTTACCTTTAAGTGCCATAGAGAGGGCAATGACATCTACCCAGTCAACTCTCTGAACTTCCATCCCGTAAGATCCCTTGGTCTTTTTCCTTTTTCATAGGTATGTCTGGACAATGTACTGAGGGTCCAACATATTTGTTTTTGGTGTTTTATATTTTTGTTTTTAAATTAAAGATAGGGGTGAAGGAGAGAGAAATAAGTTAGAGTAGTTTATAGAATTTGAAACTCAAAAGTCAAAACACTTCAAAGTGAAATGTCTCTGTTGTGGTTTTCGTTACATGCATTCTTTGTCAGCTCTGTAATGTCCCATCTCCCCCCTTCCTTTTTCCTGTTGCTTTTCACTCTCTTGAATTGTGAAAGACAAAAAGCAAAAAGGTTTCTGAATAATCCTTGAATTACTATTTTTCTTTTGTTTTGAATTTTTCATGTATATTATTAATGGATTGTATTGGTTGTTGGTTTGTCATAGTGTATGAGAATCTGTAAAGTAGTTAGATTGCTATGTATACTGGATTATTTTGTCTGAACGGTGAATTTGGTCAAGTTAAATCTTACCTTTATGTACAAATTTGTCTTTTTTTTAGGAATGAGTTTACTTCAGAATCATGATTTGGAATGCCTAAGTATTTGACAGTTTCCATCCTAACTAATTTATAGAACATTCACAGTCGGTTCGTCATGGTTATTGTTAGGTTGTTGAGTGAGATGTTGATAAATTCTGAGGCTTCATTTTCTGAGCCTTCGCCCATGAGCGGTAGGTCTCGGGTTCGAGACTTGGGAGCAGCCTCTCCATAAATGGGGGTAAGGCTAGCCGACATTCACCTCTCCCAGACCCTGCGTAAAGCGGGAGCCTTGTGCACTGGGTACGACCTTTTTTTTTTTTTTTTTAGAGCTTAATTTGTGCTCCTCGTTTCAGGTACATCAAACATTTGCTACCGCTGGTTCTGACGGTTCTTTCAATTTTTGGGATAAGGATAGCAAACAGAGACTAAAGGTTTCTCCCACATCTATTTTCTACTGCTACTTTTGTCTTTGTATTATGCTTAAATTATAAGCATCTTGACTGTTGGTTTCCAATCAGTTTAAGGGGGGTGTAGTCAAACTTGGATTTGAGAGGATTTTAAAAGACTTTAAAATCCTAGTGTAGTCAATTAAAAGATTTTAAAGGATTTTAGAATCCATTCAAATCTAGGTGTAGTCAATTAAAAGATTTTAAAGGATTTTAGAATCCATCTAAATCTAAGTGTATTAAAAAAATTGAGATTTTGGAGGATTTTAATAAGTTGTGGATTTTGTGGGATTTGAAAGCAAAAAGTATATATAACCAAAACTAAAAAGAATCCAACCTCACCCCCTAGGATTTCAAATCCTTCCCCCACAATCCACCACAATCCATTCAAATTCTTTAAAATCCATATGAATTTTGTAGGAGTCTTTAATCCTCTTAAATCCTATCAAATCTATCACTTTTAAAATCCTTTAAAATCTTAGTTTGACTGCCGCTAATCTGGCAATTTTACTTTGTTGGCTTTAATTCTGCACAAGTCATTTTCTTTTTCTGGCATGAGCTTGCCCAGTCCCTGACTCTCTCCTTCCTGTTTATATATTTGGTTATTGATCATTTGCTTTGTACGTGTATAAGTGTCTAATAGAGGGTTTTCTGATTTTTTCAGGCAATGGCGAGGTGCAGTCAACCTATACCTTGCAGTGCTTTCAACAGTGATGGTTCCATATTTGCATACGCAGTAAGTCTCTTTATTAGTGATTTTGCAACTAATATGAGGGTTCTGTCTGAGGTTTGCCGTTCAAATTTTCACGGGAGTGACTCCTGGTGTAAAATTTGTTTACAAAAATGAAAATACTATCCTTACGTTTCTGGTTGTCCTCTTTTAAATCTGGGTTGGTAATGAATGGAGTCTGGAGGTTGTAGACATCCATAGAAGTTATGTTCTTCAACTGGTCTAAAGTGGTAGAAGTAGGTTGTATACGTTGCAACTTCAGGAAATACCTTTGCGTATGCATTTTTATTGTATTTCTTGCAATGATGACTAACCTTTTGCAATTTCAATTTATACCACAATGAACCTTTCGCTCTGTAGACTTGCTTGTCTTTCACTATTGTTTATGTCGAGATTATACTGCATGGCTTGCCATGGTTATTTTGGTCTTGTACTGTTGTAGTCGTGTTTCTTTCTGTATTCAAGTGACTGATGCTGGTTTATGGTTCTAATCTCTGAGAGCCAATTTGACTCGAAAAACTGGTTGCACAAATTCCTTATATTTTTCTCTCCTAATTTAAATATTTCACCGAAGATTCTTTCCAAACGTGTGTATCTAGGTTTGCTATGATTGGAGCAAGGGTGCTGAAAATCACAATCCTGCTACTGCAAAGAACTGCATTTACCTCCACGTGCCACAGGTATGTTTCTGACCATACATTTCCAGTAATTTTGTTGACGAAGGCCTGGAAATACTCAAACTGCAATGTTACGCTTTTCTTGGTTGCAGGAAGCTGAGGTTAAAGGCAAGCCAAGAATCAACACCGGAAAACGGTGAAGCTGTTTGCGACCAGCCATGTCTGCTATGAGCTATTTGTGCATACGACCTTTTTTAGTCGGCAAACGCGTGATCAAGGCGGCATTCTCCATGTCTAGATGTTTAGATAGAAGATTGTTCTGGTGCTATTTCTGATTTGCCATTTTCGAAGAGGTGGCTAGTTTGTTCTTCGCTACGTGCTAGGTTGTTCAAAGGGTCTTGTTCTTGTTCCATTTTGTGCTGAGAATTCAAACCTTATAAATTTCCTTGCTAAATTTCAATGAGCTTGAGGTTTTTCGTTATTCTGATGCGATCTTAAAATTATAATTAGTTTTTTTTATCTTTTCTTTTTCGATATACAATAATAGGAAAAGATTTGTGGCACCACTTTTTTACACAACTGTTGACATATGTTTTTGTGAAGTCTACTTTGTAATGTATTTTGACAAATCGAACTGTTTATCTTTTAGATTTTCCATCAAAGATCATGTTTGCCAAAAGTCACCCAAATTTGAAACTAAATAACTATTGGATTAAGGGTTTAAGGTTTCTTTATAGAATCGGATTTGTCCTACAAATGAATATCTTAATGATTTTGGACTCGTTTAATTTTTTGCAATGATGATTTATGAATGATGTTCTAAAATATAGATGGTTCGAGTTGTTAAAATACATTACTGAATTTTATAAAAATGTGTGTCAAAAGTTGTGCAAAAAAAATGATGATACTGATTCGTTCCCTATATAGATTTACAATAAAAGGTGGGGAATAAATTGGCATCGAATTCGTTATATAAGAAATTTAAAGCTAAATTAAAATTAGTTTTAGATATACCAGACCCATTCACTTTGGTATATTATGTTTTTTTTAATAAACGATATTATCTACACTAAGGGGGAGGGAAGGGGGTGGACTTAACCTCACAATGGGCTAATAATAATGTGGTTCAAACTCGCATTTGGCAATAATCGAATATGAGACCTCTCACTTACAATTAAAGAGGAATACTATTAGACTGTAGTACTAAGTGACTTTTTAGTATTTTCATATTTATTTCACTAATTAATATAATAAGGGCCAGTTTCAGATTGTTGTGCTTTAAAAAAAAAAACTACTTCTACTGTGCTTTAAGAATAATCAGTTGTAAAATAAAGTTGATGAACATTTGGTTAATTGAATTTTAAAAGTGCTTTGAGTATGAAAAGCAACGTAAAAGCATTTGGTAAAAGTTAATGTAAAAGTGATGCAATTGTATACAATGACAAATGGACATAATAGTAGCAGTGGGGGCGACGACAATAGTGGTGGTAATGGTAGTGGTTGATGTGGTGGAGGTGCAGTGGTTGTGCTAATAGTGGGATGTGTTGATTGGGGTGGAGAGATCACGATGGTGGTAAGGCGGTGATTGCATCGGTAATGGCGATTTTGGTTGCGGTGGTAATGGCAGTGGTGGCGGTAGCAGCAATGATGGTGGTAGTGGTAGTTGTGGTTGTGGTGGCAGTGGTGGCAATTGCGGTAATGGTGGTGGCGGCGGCGGCGATGGTGGTAATAATGGTGGTAGTGGTGGTGGTGGTAATGGTGGCGATGATGGTAATGATGGTGGTGACAATGGTAGTAGTGGTGACATTGGTGGAGGTTGTGGTTATGTCGGTGGTGGTGGCAAAAATGGTGGTTGTAATGGTAGTGATGGCGTAAGGTTAGTATTTGTAGTGGTAGGTTAGTATTTGTATTTGTAGTGGTAAGGGATAAAATGTGTTTGGAAGACTAAATAATTTCATTTAAAAAATATTAACAAAGGTATTACAACAATTGAAAATAGTTATCAAAGACCCAACTCTGTTTTTTATTAAAGCAGTTTTTAAAAGTAACCTAGAAGTTGCTATTGAAAGCAACCTACAAGAGCTTTTAAAGCAATTTTTAAAAGCAACATATAAATTGATATTAAAAGTTACTGTCTAGAACCTATTACTTTTAAAATAAGTAAAATATTTTACAACATTTTTTTACTACTTCAAGCAATATCAAACAGAGCCTAAATCCAACCCCTCAGCAAGTGGGCAAATCATGAGGGGGTGGAAGAATTTTACTTTTTAGATCAACACCATTTTTCACGAGGAACACCGTTGTCATTCCCCACGTTTGATGACGCTCTATGTGACAATGCATCACCCACACACCTGCATTCATCACGATATTAACTATTTTAGATTTTTTTTACTTGATTTGATAATTAAAATGTTAATAAATATGATGACACAAGAAAATTACAGGCATACAAAATTAGATTTGATTCTTTTTTTCTTTAAAAAAAAAAAAAAAAAAAAAACTGAAAGTAGTTAACAAACGAGATTTCAATTTTCAGTTTTAAAAAAAGGAAAATAAAACGATTATCAAACGTCCTACAATGAGGGATTTGAAATTTCATTTTCTCTCTTTAGCATTTGAAGCATATTCTTAATTTTCTTACATAATAAATTTAGAATAATAATTTTTTTAGTACAAATTTAAGATAATACTTAAGTACTCACAACGAGTACTCTATATGCTCACTTTTCGATTTAGCCCAATCAAAAAATGTTACTTGTCCCTTATTTTTAAAGCCTAATTAAAATTAAATAACATGTCCATTATTTTTTTAAACAATACAAGACAAGTTATCATTGGACAAAATAAAAAAACAAGTACTTACTAATGAGTATCCAAGTATTATCCATAAATTTATGAATTTTATCAACATAAGAAAATGGTGGTGTGGATGATACCCAAAGGGCTAGCTAGAAAAAAAAAAGGACAAAAACAAATACACAAAAATGTTTAATGAAGAAAATTAAGGGTTAGCTTTATCCTTATAATTTTGTTACGTACCTGGATTATCTGCTCTAAATCTGATTGCAACCCAACCGTTCTTAGGAACACCAACTGTACTCTCCTCTGGAGGATCAACAAGATTGTAGCTTAAAGGGTCTTTCTTGGGGTTGAAGTTTCCGAAACCCCAGCCAACAACATAAAAGCTATAGCCATGCAAATGCACAGGATGGTTATCACTTGCTAGCACATTGGTTCCCTGTAAAACTAGTTCAACACTCGCATTGTACTCCAGAACCACCACCTTCGTGCCGTAGGAAGGGGTAAACAAGTTGTCAGGAAGTCGATCACCGGTATAATTGAACCCCTTAGGAGGTTTTCTTGGAAAATCTTTCTCGAAAACACCTGGGATCTTATAATAGTACGCTCGAAGTATGTCGATGGATGGGGCTACAAAGCTTACGTTGTTCACGCTAGCGGAAAATCTTTTACCAAAGGGACCGCTGCATGGTTTGCCACTGCAATTTAGAAGATTTACAGATATGGCGAAGAAGAGGTTGGTGTTTACATGTAATGGGACATTGGTTGGGTGCTCTTTCGTTGCTAGGCTTCTGAAGTGCTTGGTGAAGTCGGTTGATGCTTGAGTTCTGTTATAGGGAGGTAGATGGGGAAATTTGTAGTGAGGAAACTGCGGATGATCTCGGTGTGAACCGCTGTATTTAACGATGGCTGTTGTCGTGGTTTGATCGAAACCAGCTCCAGTGGCGCTTGAATATGCTCTTGCAGCCATGAAATAGAGACTTGGAGGTTGGTTTGCTTGTAATAAAACATCCATGGATTGGCCTGGGGTTATCATTATGTAAGATGTCTCGATTTGTTTTGTAGTAACCATCCTTTCCCACCAATGTTAATTTGTTGTTTGCTATGCCGAAGAAAAGCTCTTCATCCATTACCGCGCTAATTATCCGAAGCAAATAGGTTTTCCCATGCTTCACTGACATTTCGAAAGTACCTGCATGTTAAATTAAAATGTTATTGATAACAATGTTATTGATAACAATGTTATTGCTGTAGTAACGGAACAAGGATTTCATATTAGAGGAGTCAGTAGAGAGAAATGAATAAAAGATTTAAGATATATACACATTAAAGAAAGAGAGATTAAGAGAGAAAACAGATATTGTAAAATATTTATAAAGATACAGAACTAGAGAAAGATCTAAGATTAAAACAAGTTTTTAATTTTTTTTTATTATACAATAATAATCTAGCACGTATACATTTTATTTTCAAAATCTACAATCTAACCACAAAAGATAAGTCTATTTTTGAGGTTTACAATTTAGCTCACTAAATTATTTCAACTTCAAAATTTTGTTTAAAATGAAGTTATAAAATGACTAGCTAGTCATGAAGGAAACTTATTGACGGGATAAGTTTTTTAATGGCTAATTCATTTTCCATCTTCGAGTTGGACAAGGTTTGAAAGTTAAGCATTCATTTCCTCCTTTAGCATACATTGAATGTGTGAGTTGTCCAATCCAATCCAAGAAATTAACTAGACAAGACCTAAATATACATTGACACAAACTTATTGATATTGTTGCAGTCCTAATGCTATTAAAAGTTTCTCTCTCACTTATTAGTATAAATAAATGCATAGGCCGTGATAAACATCACTCACAAATTCTCAAGCCTTTATCTCTCCTCTTCTCTCTGATTGATCTCTCTTTCTTCCTTCACTAAATTCATACTACAACAACTATTTATTTACAAGAATATTTATCAATTTTCTTTGTTGATATCAATATACCTGATTTGGAACATGGATAGAGATGGCCTGGTTGCCCATTTATGGTATATGCATCTGAGAGTATGGGTTCACCTCCTGTTATATTTGCATTTCCTGGTATCTCCATAACATCTTTCTTCCACCACTCGCCTAAGAAAGAACAACAACATTATTAATTTGAACATTTTAAAGATCGTTTGATCGGTGGTGGAGGCAGAAATTAGAGCTAGAAGGGTCTTTTAAACCATATAAAAGAAATTGGACAAAAAATGCTAGCACGAATGGAAGAAAAAAGGTTCATTTTTATAGTGCAATGAAAAATTTTAATGAAAAGAAAGTAATGGAGTTAGGAAAAAAAAAAGATTGAGTTAATATAAGCACCAAACTTTTTTGTAAGTTTCTATAATGACGTTGAACAAAAATTAATAACCATGGTTCAAAACTGTAGCTATGAAAATGGTCTTTCAAGATAAATTCTTCCTCTATTCCATATATATGTAGTTTTACTGTAAAACAACACTCTATCATGCAAAAAATGATGAACTGGAAGGCTAGTTGATATAATTAAGGCTTTGGTTTCTTAACAATACTATTGTAAAACATTTTTTGTTGGTCAATTAGAGAAATATAATAAAGCTAGCAGAGATCAAAAGCACATAAGTCGAAGAATGCACTATGTTCAACCAAAAGCACACAAACAGAAGCTACAAAGTGAAAAAAATTTCAAAATAAGCATGGACCTCTCCTGACCCTCAAGTAGCTCCACCACTGCATTTGATAATCATTTCATTTTCTACATACATACCTTATTGCATTTTCAGTTTTCAGTACGTACATACCTAGTATGATTGGAACCTCTGCATGAGGTTTAGAAAAGGGATAGCGAGAACCACGCTTTGGATAGACAAAAATGGGTCCGTGAACTGTTGCTCTTGCCCACCCACTGTGTGCGTGCCACCACATTGTTCCTTCTTCCGTTGTAAACTCTACTTTGTAAGTGTACTTGTTTCCTGGCTGAATCGGGCACTGCGTGATGTACTCAGGTCCATCTGACCATGAATTTCTAACTTGTCTAACTCCATGCCTGTAAATTAAATATACATTTTGTTGAAAAATGCAACTCTACATCAGAAACTTGACAAAATATATTACTAATGAATGGTTCTGCTATAAATAACATCGATATTTTCTGTGATAAAACTTAACACCTATCTTACTACACAAATAGTTAAGTAGGCTATATCGAAGTGATTAGTAATAGGTTGTTGGCCCGACTTTGAAATTTTAACATATTTTGACACAAAAACAAATTAATTAGTTAAATTCATGGATAAAACTAGAATTTGAATATAAATTAAATGACGCACCAATGAAACGTGATGTTGTAGTTTGCCTTGTTATAGACCGTAATAATAATTTTATCTCCTCTACGAGCTTTCAAAGTCGGCCCTGGGAATCGGCCGTTCACAGTCAGGATTTCCTTGGTACTACATAGTCGAGTGTAAGAAGATGATTTCACCTGCAACAACAACAACGCGATTTACACACATGAACATGAGAGAGATAGAGAGAGAGAGAGACAAAGAGAGAGAATGTGAGAGATCTAGAGAGAGAAATAGATCAGTACAAACCACGAACTTCTGGTGATGGATTTTCCCATTTGCAACATTAAAAAGTAGAAAAATTTGAAAAACGCAAAAACTAAAATGTACTAAAACATTAACCATGCCTGCAAAACTTTCAAAGCTCACTATTTGTTTCAAATCGCAATTGTCACCAAACTTCTCTTATGTATAGTGTATACTCTCTCTCTCTCTCTCTCTCTCTCTCTCTCTCTCCCTCTCTCCCCCTCTTCTTTCTTTCTATGTGGCAATTAATAACACTTTCCTACTGTAGACCTCAGTATTGGATTCATATATTCAAAATTACATTAAATTAGTTGATTTGGTTGCAAACAATACAGTGGAAATGCTTTGTACTTGCAATGTTGTGAAAATCTACACCAACTTTCTTAAATAAGTTGATTTTGTAGATTAGGATAATCTATTTATGGAAATGTTGGTGTGAAGGTGCATACCAATTTTCTTTATTTTATCGTTATTTTTAGATAAATTCTCTTATTTATATGTTACAAGCGTGTTTGGACCTAAAATCCACATTTCGGCCCAGTTGGTAGGTGCGGGCCTAGAAAGGAGGTTGTGGGTCTCAGCCTAATGATGTAGTGATGATGGAATAGTCGAGTCCTAGGATTTTTTGAGGATTAGAATTGGGTTCTAGAGTGGTCGAGTCCTAGATGAAGTAGGACTATTTGAGGGTCAGGAATGATGATAAAGGTTTGAATTAATTTCTCAGTGGTAAGGATTGCCATTGGATGAGATATGAATTGATCATGTTACAAGTTTTGGTTCAGAGTTCTAGTCAAGTTGAAAAGAGCGAGATTTGGCAGTGATAGAGTTTCAGTGGAAGAAGGTTTTGTGGAGATAATTCCAAGTGTTTTTCAAATAATGTTGAGGAATTGCAATACTATCAGGACTCTGCAATTCGGCAGTCTTAGGTATCAAGTAGCTTGTCCTATAAATACAAGAGGATTGACAACGCAAAGAGGGCCTTCAACTCGACACACAAATCAACGCTCTATGCAAAACCCTTTTACATCGTATTGTGAAAACTAACTACTTCACTAATCGTCAGCCTAGATTTCGATTAGATAGATGGGTCTAGATTGGCAACCAATGGACAAAGACTAACTGAATAGATGCGGGTTTCCATAAGCAACTAGTGAAGGCAAACGATTGATTTGAGGGGACTGAAATTTGTAGAGTCAGTTTGCCTTAAGAGATTCGAACGACTGGATAGACGGAGATTCTCTATGAATCTATGGCGGGCTAGTTATTTCAAGTCTCAAACACCAAAGAATCATTGATTTTACCGAAAGAGATCACTTCATTGGCCTTCATGGCAAAGTGAAGTGTTCTATGATTGGCTACTCTCATGTTGCATTTAGAGTTCGACATACAGACATCCGAATCTTTTTTATGATGAAGACATTCATCTCCTTTGAGTTTCTTTGTCCATATAGTTTGATACTGGTTTGGTGGGCCTATATTTCCACCAATATAGTTGAGGTTGCCAAAACTTGTGCAGAAGATCCAAAACTTCATAGTGATTTGGATAACTTTATTTTCAGGTTCATGAACTCAAGGCTGTGAATGTTCATTCCTCGGTCGAAACTGCTCAATTTAGGAGTTAGCAACGCATTTTACCACATCACCACATTTGAATTATTCGTCCGACCGAGCTTGATAGCAAATTGGCATGCTTGCATCAACATTCAAGCCACTAAAGAACGTAATTAACTTTTAGTTACTCAGCTTGCGCACTACGTAGATTTGTAATTTTATAATCAACTAAGTGGCTAAGAGAATTTCTTCTACAAATAAGTACTAAATGAAATTATTCAAATGGTACATTCAATCAAGTTGGACACGCTGCATCATCATTGCTAATGGCTTGTTTAGTGACCATTTATGTTCGTATTTATATATTGGAAAAGGAAGAGTTGATGGATGATGATGAATTCATGAAGATATGAAGTAGAATTTGAATTTTACTTTCTTTTAGTTTTCATTTTGTGTAATTTGCAACCTAAAAAAACATTTCAACCTATGTGGCAAGAATGCCAAATAACAAGGAATACAAAAAGGGGTGTGATATCCACACACCCCATTTTACTTCTCACACACCTTTTTAATTTTCGGCCGTCGGATCGGATGAATTGAAGAAGATCAACGGACATAAATTATCAAGGGGTGTGTGAGAAGTAAAATGGGGTGTTTGGATAGCACACCCCTACAAAAACTTCATTAGGCGTGGGTGTGATGATAGAGGCATACGACAGGCAACCGAGTGTTTTATACAAAAGGCAGTGCTAGTCACACAATCATATTTACTTTTTTTATAGAGTCATCGATTTTTTTTAATTTATTCAATCCAACGACCAAAAATTAAGAGAATGTGTGAGAGTAAAAATTAGGTGTGTGGATAGCCCCATGAGCAATGTTAAGGACATCAAATTGGATTCCAAATAAAAGAGCAAGGACATATTATTAATATTCAATTGATGAAATTAACATGTGTAATTTAACAATAATTAATTTTGTGAGCAGTTTCCACTTTACAACCCTCAAAGTTTGCCAAAATTGCACTTTACTTCTCTTACTTTTTTTCGTCTCACTTTCATACCTAAAGTTTTATTTTTTTGACACTTTGATACTTCCGTTAGCTTAGCCGTTAATTTTTCTGTTAATTGATGATGTGACAAAATCTTAACTGTTAAATACCTAAACAAATATTTATATGTTGTTCCCAACAATTTTTGTACTTCATAAAAGAAACAATCCACTTAAGGTGAAGAAATTTTTGTGCATGTAGCCGAGTCTCTTTGTTTTAGGTAAAGAAGGGCGTGGGGTTAAATCGTGGTTGAAGAACAATTTTCATCCAAAAGTAGGGGTGCATTTTTTATTGGGCCAACCCGAACTCGCTCATGTCTAACCCGAATTTAAATCCAAAGATATGGGTATTTTCTTAGTTATAACCCGCCCGAATGCAACCCAATTTCAACCCAATTATTTATTGAATTATTTATTGAATTATGTTGGGTTAATTCTTTGCATGCCGATGCCCAACCCATTTTATAACCCACTCTAACCCGATCATAACCCAAATGAACAAATGCACATATTACACCCATGTCCACCAATCAACAACCTTTATAATGTTTTATACAATATCCCTTATAGGTACAGTTGATAGTGCTGAAGCTTTTGGTATGGAGGTTCCATGTAGCACTTAACTTGATTCTATTTGGCCATTTGTAGGTCCTCATGTACTTTGTTTTAAAAGATTATAATGATAGTTGTGAATATATGACCTACAACTAACTATTTTTCTTATTTAATACAAATGCAAATTAAATTTGGACAACAAGACTTGAGTTCGGTGTTTGTTTATAGTTGGTATGTAGTGTTGCTTTTTGTTTTTTTTTCCTTTTTGTACAAGCTTTGATATTTTCTTGTATTTTTAATTCAAATTTTGCATAGTTAAATTTGCGTATTTGGTTTAACTTTTAAGCAGATATCAATTTGTGGAACTGAATGCAATTTTTGATTGAACTATGACATTGAAGTTAACTAGTTTTGATACTACTTTGCTTAATTTTTTTTTAAATTATTGCAAAATAAGTTGTTAAAGGATTAAACTTTAAACTAAAAAAAGTTGGACAACCCAAATTCAACCCAATTAAATCCGAATCTGAATGAATCCAAATGAAACTCAACACGAACCTGAACCTGAATTATGAATGTTGAGCTAAGGTTAGGTTGACCTTTCAACCCGTCCGAGTTGCAGCCATACCATAAACAATGACAACAATAATTTAGTAAATATACTAAATTAAAATGAAGAAAAACAAAAATATAAACAAACGAAGAAAGGAAATTTCCACCGTGGTGGACAGCGACTTTGACTTATTGAGAGCCCTCCATCTGCAGCTCCTCCCGTCTTCCTCCCCAACCTTTTACTTTTCTTCCTTTCTTCTCCAAAACCAGTAAGCTCTCTGAGATTTCAATCTCTTTCACTCTCTAAGAGGCAGCGGCATGCTTTTCCAAACGCAATTTACAATTTAGTCAACGGGCAAAAGCAAGAGCCACCGAATTTTCTGGAATCCGGTCAACGTGGAGATGCTCCAGATTTTGATCGGTCAACGCCTGCTGCTGCCCCAATTATTAGAGTTGGAATTAGGGATTCGTGTATGAGCTGAGCTCCAATGAACCCACCAGCGATGACGTCCTCCGCCTCTGTTTCCGTTTGGCTGATTCTGTTGTTTGGCTTCTTTCACCTCCATAAGCTCGCTGCCAACGTCGAAGGTATGTCTGTGTCTGTGTGTTTTTGAATTTGGGTTTGTTTGGTTGCGGGAATTGGCATGAACTAATGAATGAATGAATGATTGGATTTGACAGGTGACGCATTGAACGCGTTGAAGACCAATCTAGCTGATCCAAACAATGTTCTGCAGAGTTGGGATCCGACTCTCGTCAATCCCTGCACCTGGTTTCATGTCACTTGTAATAGCGAAAACAGCGTTACTCGAGTGTAAGCAAACCCAACAAACACCTCCTTTTCAATTCAATTCAGTTCAGTTCAATTCAATTCACTTGTAATAGCGAAAATTGCGTTACACGAAATTTCTAACCTTTTTTGCTCCACCCAGTGATCTTGGCAATGCCAATCTCTCTGGTCAATTGGTTGCACAGCTTGGTGTGCTTTCCAAGTTGCAGTACTTGTAAGTGTGTTTTTCGCTCTGCTTTCTTATTTGTGTTCTTTCCAACTGTTCCATCAGTATGCGTTTGAATTGAAATTGGTATCGATACACGACGAATGAATTCACTACTGCATTTGACATTATCGAAACATTCTTTCTTGACAGGGAACTTTACAGTAATAACATAACTGGAACCATTCCCGAAGAGCTTGGGGGTTTGGCAGACTTGGTCAGTTTGGATCTTTACTTGAACAAGTTACATGGTACCATTCCAGCGGCACTTGGCAACCTTGCAAAACTACGTTTCCTGTATGAACCCCCATCCTTTTGTTAGATAAAATATATCTTGTCTTTCTTTTTTTAATTGATATGCTAATCTACTGTTTTTAATTGTTCTGTTGGAGTGAC